GGATCATGTTGCTGCACGTTTGGCCCACCATGAATGGGCTTCCCTCTACTCATGGGTGCTCTGCATATCCAGGCCCGTGCTTCATCTTTTCTAAGCTTATCCCATCCCTCCCCTTGGGTCTTCGGCCAATACCAAATTTTCTAACAGACACACAAGCCATTTGTGATTAACAAAGTAGGGTAGTTCTTTTTCCCCGGAAGAAGTGTAGGGCGGTCCTGTGCAACCGTAGTTGAAAGGGCCAGGCGACGGCGCGGCGTTTGTTCGTCTGCACTCTCGGCGCGGACAGCGGTGCTCACTGTACATGGTTGCAAAATTATGTGCCGGTGACATTTGGCAACGTTTTGAGCCATGTATAAGGTATTTGTGCGCAATTCGGGGATTTATGAAGGAGCATCAGTAGTGTGAAGGTAAACGTAAAAAAATTAGCGAGTTGGCGAGAGGATTTGACAAAAGTTTGGAACAATGTGGACGTTACCAACGAGTGTGGTTCTCTGAGTCAAAAACGCGACTTCTGCTTTTCACAGCTCAAAGCTTTTTTTGCTGCGGGAACCCCAGTCCACACCGATCATTGGCAGACCTATGGTTCCTGCAGTGAAAAAAGCTTCGCGTTGCGAAAAGCGGAAAGGTCGCGTTCTCTGGGCGCACGCATAGTCGGTCGGACGACAGCAACGATCGTAACTGTCGCACAGCATTGGATGCGTATCGATCGTCGGACTTGCCTGAGTATTCGACGATTAGATGCAGTTAGACAGTCAGACAGTTGCGATCGTTGCTGTCGGACGACCGACTATGCGTGCGCCCAGCGACCTACATCCCTTTAAAGGAAGCGATCAGGCTGGCTTCCACGTGGATCGCCGAACTCCTTGTTATCAACCGATAGGGCGCACGCATAGTCGGTCGTCCGACAGCAACGATCGCAACTGTCTGACTGTCTAACTGCATCTAATCGTCGAATACTCAGGCAAGTCCGACGATCGATACGCATCCAATGCTGTGCGACAGTTACGATCGTTGCTGTCGTCCGACCGACTATGCGTGCGCCCATAGAGCGGGGAATAATAGTGGTCGACCGAGCAAACCAATAATTGATAGAGCGAATATAGGTTCTTTAGAAGATAACGGCCTGCTCTACGAATAGCCGTCCCTTCAGCAGAAATCGAACAATACGATAACCGTATCTTATCTAGCACGCTGCTGTTGCGTCCCCTTCCACTTTCGTTTGATAAGGAGGTGTAACGCCGAACCGGAAGTCGGTTTCGGCGCCCTATCGCGTCGTTGATAAGGCGCACTGCTACCTGAAGCGTCACCTGTCGTCCCACTAGGTAGGAACCCTACCCAATCCACTATGTCATTTTCCCTATCGTCTCAAGAGGAATTCTGCACGCTGTGACCTTACTTGTCCTTTTAACAACTTCCATCAACATCTACCCCGAGTCTCCCTCTCTTCCGGCTGGTGTCAGAGTCCTGCGACTCCGTCGTGGCGATTTGAACGATCCACGAGTGCGCACCGAGTCAGTACTTGCGAGTGTTCTCCAATCATATCCCTCGAGCATCTTCCTCTGATTGTGGATGGTTGACATACGACTGTTTATTTTCTATATTGTTGTTCATACTAAGTTTTCGACTGCTCATGGGCATCTCGCGGTTTTATTGCGACTCTGCGCGATTGCGTATTCAGCGATGGCGCTCATCCAGTAAGGGGGGCATCAAGTGGCTGCCCTCACCCCCCTCCACCCCCTAGACTGCCTACACTCCTCCTGGCGCACAGGTTTCTCGAAGTACGGGACCCCGTGGCCAGGGGGAGTGAAGCCAGTTCAGGGGGGATTAGGTCGATTTAGACCGTTTGCACTCCCCCAATCGCCCCCTCCTTACCGGATGAGCGCCGCGGGGCTCTACACAAGCGTTACATGCGCAACTGTTTATTGGGTTCCACACTACATTTTGGTAGCTGTTGATTTCAATACACGTCCTATGAATCCATGAATGCATTGCGACAGGGTAATCTTTTGGAACGATCCCTTTTCTCTCCCCCTCCGCCCCCTCCCCAAACCTCCGGCGGCTTTCGGTTGTCCGTCGGTACCTTTCCTCAAAATATTAGAACCCCGCACTCCATATCAGAGCGACAACATAACAGGTTTTGCTTTCGGCCTACATTTCGTTGAACCCAGGCCGGTTTGTGTATGTTGTGCTTGTTTTTACTTGTGAAGCCATGGGGTACTGATAGGTTTGCTTTTTATGGTTGATTAACCCGAAAGTTCAACACGCTTGAAAGCCACGTTTAATTAGATAAGAAAAGTGGAAGCTTAGTGAGTCCTCATTTCTAGAAAGTACTCTTCGTAGAATGTCTGAAGTTTACGCTAAAGAAGTGGAGGTGAAAAACGTAGTTCTTGCTGTATTTCGCACTATATTTGTGATTATCATTATTTGTGATCGATTCCCCAAGCTTGCTTGGCTTCTAGTCGCAGCTTCATTCTAACAGTTCCTTCATTCTCACGGCTTTTACTCTTCACTATAGTCTCACATTCTGGCAGCATTTGCTGAGGTTGCTGGCCTGTAGCAAGTCAAGGTTGCTCTGGAAGCAGCTGATCCGCGCAACTTCTATAGTGCGGCGGACGCCACGTCAAACCCAGAGCCGCGCCTAATCAGACTTCAGGATAGTATCGTACTGACGTCATGTTCAAAAACACATCCAGACACGTCCTTTATCCGCCGTCATTACAACGACTTTTACATCACTAATTCGATCTGGGGTTGTTGCTTCAAATCTAACATATCTAAGAAGTGTAAAGGCTTTTCTGCTATTTCATTGTTCGAGAAGTGGATTTGAAAATACGAAGCTTGAGCACACCCTCTGGAGGTTTTTGTTTAGATTCCTTGAATAAGTTCGCAGCCAGCAATGGCGGCCCCCGGAGGAGGCGGAGATGCTGGAAAAGCTGGTATTTTATTTCTGTTGTATACTCGTTCACCCCTCTAATGACTTCCTTTTTAGTTCTTTCGAAGAAGGATGTGTTGTCCGAAGCGCAAGCCAAGATGGAAGCCCTTAATGTGAGTTTTTGGTTCCACTTGATTTCTCGATAGTTTTATCGTCGTTACTTTATTCCCAAGCCTATTGTCGTAGAATTTAGATATTACAGAGTATTTCCACAGTAGACGAACGATTAGGCCGCGTTCATAGTTCGCGACTCGGGAGATTAGGATAGTAGGCGACAGGATATTAGGATAGTAGTAGAGTAGGAGATTGCGCTGACAAGATTGGATACGTATCGATTGAAATCGCTGGAGAGTAGTAGATTGGGCGACTTCAAGCGAATCAATACACATCTAATCTTGTCAGCGCACTATCCTAGGGCCGTATGCTATCACTCCCCGAGGGCGACCTTCTTTCCTTTACAGGGACAGAAAATTCCTCTAAATTTATATCTCATAACCTTCCATAGCTGGTGAAAAAAACAAAAAAAAAATAACCTAACCCTGACTGAAATGCCTACATCAAAGTCGGTAACACTGAACATGCCATTGAAATGAATAGACACCAGCGTTCTTAAAAGAAAAATCAATTTTTAGTAAACTTTGGGTCACCTACCTTTGGAGGAATCGGATAGCATACGGCCCCCTATCTACTACTAATCTCTAATCTCGCTTACCTTCCCTACAAACTACTATCCTACTATCGTAATATCGCAATCTACTACTCTCCAGCGATTTCAATCGATACGTATCTAATCTTGTCAGCGCAATCTCCTACTCTACTACTATCCTAATCTACTACTATCCTAATCTCCCCGTCAATACATATGTTTTTCATTGTCGCGTACTATCCTAATCTCCGGAGTCGCGAACTATGAACGCGGCCTTACGTTGTATGCTACTAGAGTGGAAGTGAAGACATATTCTCGAAACGATTTCAGCTGAAACCGGCCCCTGCAATAATGGCGAAAAATGCACCTCCGGGTTCATTGGGGAGACAATTTCCTGTTCAAACGAATGCTTTTGGTGTGCAGCTGGAGAAACCCATGGCTTTCTGGAGATATGACGTGCTTATATATGCAGAAATCAAGGCTGGGAGAAAGACAGTGTTTTTTACAAAGAAAGGGCGAGACGAGTAGGTTTTTTTATACATCATATTTCAAACAGGATTAAAACTTTGGGAAACATCATCAAGAATAATTTTTCTCCTGTCTTGTTTCTGCGCTTACATCGAAATACAGCAGTTTGCATCTTTCAGCTATCTTATAATGAATCGCAATTACAAATGCAAGCTGATTTTTGATGCTGTTGTAAGGACGAACCGTGAGTTCTTCGATGACCCGAGCCAGCTTTGGTACGATGGTCAGAGCATATTGTTCGCGGGGAAAGATCTTTTTAAGGATCGAGAAAAGGTATGTGAATGAGCTTCAAAGTTCTACATATTATCATCTGAACTATTGGGTTGGCACATAGTTTCTGAGGCACTTCACAGGTTTTGTTGTAAAAATTTTGTTAATTATTGAAGCTTTCCAAGATGTTTTGTAGCTCAGCACACAAGCTCGCCGCGACAAGCTACCCACCCTTACATGTGGCCTTCTTTAGCTAGGATTCCAATTTTTTCGCAACCTATTTCCAAGCCTCCTTCTTCATGATTACTGAATTAGTATCTTCCACGCGCCAGGTTACATTGAGGATTAAACAGAAAATTGTTGAGTGCACGCCCTCTCAATCCATGGTGTGTCGTGGTTCCCTCTACTCAGGTTCTCTCTTTTTAACCCTTTCGGACCTGAATTTTTTTCCGTAGAGAAATTTGTCACGCTCTAGTCCAACGTCATCCCAAAATCACATGACGT